AATTTTAATGTGAAGATTTTCAGACCATGACTCAAACGAAACTGAAAATAATCTGGTACTTATAGAGTATAAAGCACTTGTGCTCTTCTAGCTCAAGTTTATGGAAAGAGATCCAGCATAAAAATAAATGGCAACAATGACTTTTCAGGGAAACCAGAATGCTATGTCTCTAATAAGGATTCATATGCAGTTTATGGATGTGAAGAAAACATAATTGAATCAATCAGTCAATGAGTTACAGTGACAATGCCATTAAGCAATGCACTTTTGAGAAGATCATGGTGGCACCTCACAAATACGTAACACAAATTTATACTAAATATAGTTTTTACCCAACTATTTATAGAATGCAGATAACATTAATTTATGGCCCACACATTTTTATAAATAACATTTCAACAAATATTTTATTTAGAATGCATTTTGAACAATACAATTTTGCTCATCTACAGAGAGTTCAGCAACAGTTTATAATTTATACTGTTGAGAGCTAGGGATTGAGTATAGAAAACAGGAAAAAACATTATGCATTTTTTGTCAACTTGCTTCTAATGGTCTTAAGGAAATGAATGCATTTGTGCTATAATTTTCATGAAGAGACAATGTCATCACAAAAGATTTTAGTTTGGGAAAAGGTTTTTATGATAACTATTATTTACATAGGTATGAATAACATAAATTGAAACCATGCAATAATGTATTGAATGAATTATTTTGTATTTTCTTATTACATTTTCCCATATATCCTATTTTATTTCACATGAGATCAGGGGATAGTAATTATAATCGCTAACTATTAATGAGACATGCCTCTTCCCTAGTCCTATTGTTTCATTTTGAGGATGGAGCCCCACTGATACTGCAGATTATTTTTCTGATTGGAAATTGGGGAAAATAAGCTGGGGATTCTCGGCCCATTGTTTCTCTTAGAAACTAGAGAACACAAGTGCTTTGCTCTTCTTTCATGGGATGAGTCTTGCCCAGACAGCTCTCCCCATTCCCTGTCTTATTGGGAGGCCCACCCTTATTCAGAATCACCTGTCTCTGCAAGGGTAAGCCCACCCAATCTAGGGTTTCAGTTAGCAGACTTATTTCACTTTCACACTAAATTAAATGCTCCAACATTGCTTTTACATGTAACATTGATAATTTAGCCTGATCTGCCATTCCTGAGTTTTATTTATTTATCAGTTTTATAAAACCCCAAGTGGGTAAATGAGTTGCCTTTTCAGGAATCCTTACACCAATATTTATTGAGTATTTATTATATACTAACCATGTAGTAAAGATTTGACATGTGTTACTTAATCGTGAAAACCCAACAAAGTAATTACTAGTATTGTGATTAATATTAGCAATGTTCATGCTTACCAATGAAATGTAAAATCAGCTTAGCACAGTGTTTTGTACATAGCATATGCTCAATAAATGCTTCTTGCAATTACCAGTGGCTATGATAACATAGAATAGCTGATTTAGCAACTATTCATACCTCCTGTTTTAGCCAACCCTGAAGAAGCTCACAATCTTATAGACCTTGCAGTTAACTAAGACTTGTTCTTATTTATCCTCATAATCTCACCAGCTAGAAAAAGGCCTTCATGAGGGTAAATGTTTTATAAGCATGTGTTGAATTTATATTTAATAGCAGAAAACATACCACTTTGTCAATAGAGACAAGATTTATGTTAGCATTAAATTATAAGAGAAACCACATCAATGGATCCCTCCAGAATGGACATCACTGACAACATACAGAGTTTTAAACAGTGGTATTGTAGTTGATGACAAATTAACTTAAAATTTTTAAAATACTTGGCCGGGCACAGTTGCTCACGCCTGTAATCCCAGCACTTTGGGAGGCCGAGGTGGGCGAATCATGAGGTCAGGAGATGGAGACCATCCTGGCTAACACGGTGAAACCCTGTCTCTACGAAAAATACAAAAAAATTAGCCGGGCGTGGTGGCGGGTGCCCGTAGTCTCAGCTACTCGGGAGGCTGAGGCAGGAGAATGGCGTGAACCTGGGAGATGGAGCTTGCAGTGAACTGTGATGGCGCCACTGCACTCTAGCCTGGGCAACAGAGCGAGACTTCATCTCAAAAAAAAAAAAAAAGATACTTAATTGTAATAAAAACTGAAGACAATATAAAATCAGAATTTAATAAAGGCAGCCATACCAGGTGCTATTTTCAGCATTTAAGCTGATGCAGGAATAGAGCTTAGGAAACTCCCTCCAGCAAATGGTTGCAATTTCATTTATTATTTAAATCAGTCATTCTACAACTATTCAGAGAACAAATGAGAACGGTACAGAATGTATAATCTAACATAGGAAAGACTGTCACATAAACAGGTAATCATAATAATGTGATGATGACTATTGGAGGGAAGTTCAGAGTGTGATAAACCACATTACCCTAGGCTTTGAATGCTGAGGAAGGCTTACAGGAAGAAGTAACAAGTAACCTTAAAAACACAGAATGAGTAGGAGCAACCTAAGAGGACAGCAGAGGGAAAACTTTGAAGTAGAGGGAACTAAAATGTGCCAAAGCTCAGAGTTAAGAGAGTGCATGGTATGTCTGGGGAGCTAAAAGAAAGTTAAAATGTATGAAATGTAGTGGGCAAGAAGAAATAGGAACTTACAGAGAACAAGATTATAAAGGGCCATGCTAAGGAGTTTCAAGGCTTTGTCCTAAAGATAATAGGAAACCTTGCAAGATTTTGTGCCTGGAGTATCATAATACCTTTTTTCGTGATAACTTCAACTTCAGAATGTCACCATTATTTATAGAATGGAAACCATTGTCAAGACGGAAGCAGGGAGACCAGTTAGAAAACTGTTTCAATGGTCCAAGGAATATATAGATGATGGTAGCTTGAACTTGGATAATGATATATAGACTGAGAGAGTGACATTCATTTGAGATCAACTTAACAGATTCAAAGTAACAAGGCTTACTGAATATTTGCTTGGGGAAGGTGAGAGAGAGGGAGATTCCAAGAATGACTTCCAGGTTTTTGGGGAGGAACACCTGGGTAGATGGTAGTAGAACCCACTACTAGTTGAAACAAAGGAGGCATTGGTGTTGGGGTAATATGACAGTTGTAGTTTTGGACACGTCCATGGAACATTCAAGTGAAAATGTCTAATAGTAGGAGTGGTAGAAGTTAGTAGTAGTAATTATTTTCACTTACACCCAATTCTTCTTTTTGGTAACAGCTGGTAATAGCCATTTCAAACCACAGTTCAGTCTAATGCAGTTAGGACTAGTTCTGCTATTTAGTGAAGCAAGATTCATATGCTTTTAATACAAGATAGCATCAGGAGTTGAAATTCTGCTGTGGCAGTTACTGAGTTTGAAATGTGTTCCTTCCTAGACTCAAGTCCATAGTACGCTGTTTCTCCCCAAAGAACCATTTGTATCTCAAGTCCTGGGAATAGTATAAGGTCAGAAACCTAAGATTCTGTGTTAAAGAGAATAGAAGGAGGAGACCAATAATTGATCACTTGGACTGTGATTAGCATGTCTCATGCTGTGTAAAAAGGAGTCACTTTAAGTTACTGACACTGACTTCTGAAGATTTTAGTACTTCCTCATTCAGACTACTTAAAAAAAAAAAAAAAATTCTTCCCTAGCAATACCCAAGGAATGACAGCAAGGTTTGTTTAAAGATTAATTCCAAAGCCCACAAAATGTCCATTGAGAGGTTATTTCAAAACAACGGGATAGTTTCTCTTGCCCAGGTACTTTCCTAATTTTTGAAACATATGCAGAAGTCATTTGGTATTCATTTTAATATAAAATTTACAGATATAAAATCAGACCAAAAATACATTATTAGGTTTTAGACTTTGCTCAAATGATTTATGTAAAACAATATTTATATAATGCTTCTTAGTTAAACACTTGGTATCTAATGGTAGAAAATAACCATTAGCAATTTGAGGTTACATTTTGAATTAAATATGGTTATGCTTGGTATAGTTCATACTGACCTTTTAACTGTCTCATTTTGTGTCTCATGGTATCTAGATCAGCCAGAATTCTGTCCTTTTTCAGCCAGTTCTGTTTCTCTAATTTTTCTGCTTTCTGCAAAGCTAGAATAATACAAATACAAGATACTTTATCAACAATAATTTATCACGCACACCAATAATTTATAAAGAACTTTCTGCTCAAAGAATAGATTCAATTAGAAACAAGTAATTAAAAGGTAAGGGTCATTAAAAGAAACCTCATTTGAAAGATGACAGGGCTTAAGGCATTTCTTTATGGAATGGAGGGGTAAAAAAAAGAAGAGCAACGATGCTGTTTTATTATATAGATTTACCATATGCAATAGCCATATTTCATTTTCCACTTCCACAAACTATTTGGAGGTGATGAAAGCCTGGCTTGGAACCATTCATTTTTTAAACATCCACCTACTGCCTAAAGGGTGCAATTCTTAAAAATGAAAATGTGCAGACAGGTCGTCCTCTATGTGAATTAAACTCATTTGTTATTTTCTAATGTATACCATTATTCTCAGTCTTATAGACCAAGGATCTCTTTATCAACTAAATTAGACATTTTTCCACGCAGAATACTCCATTCCAGTAAGAAAAAAACAGGCAAATGTGCAAATACAAGAGTATAGCTATCCTTGTGCACATATTAATTGATGAACCTTCTGTTCTTTGTGCAAATTTGATGTTATTATGTTGATATTATACCCATTTAATTCATTTTCTTATGATGGCATAAAATGTATTTCTCTCTCCCTTCATACACTTGCTTGAAAGAAAGCAAAAACAAAAAACTTACCATTTGGAGGTAGAAATGGTTCACCAGAAGATACCCAGATGGCAATAGGATTTCTGAGGATGAGGGTAAGCAAAGACTTATCTATACCATCCAAACTATCAGATGTCACAGATTTTGGAAATAATCTGTTTTTCACTTTCATTCTTAGATTTTCTGGTGGAAAAATGACACATTTATCATTGTTCAATGAATAATGAATAAATTTGCTTTCTCAATTTGTTTATTCAAAATATTTTATTATTCACTAATAATTTGATTTAAACAAGCAATGCCAAAATCAGAGACTAATGCATAAATTTGGTCAGAAACTTCATATACAACAACAAAAAAAGCTAATAAAATTGTAAATATGTTTTAATTTCTTTCTTACACATCACCTAGTTCTGAAAGAAATTTGAGGTCGCTTACCAAAATACCTACTCCAAAATGGAAAAAATAGAGATAAAAAATCAAGCACAAGGGAAAGAAGTATAGGAATAGACTAAAGCCAGGGATAAAGTACCTTAGTGTTCTTATATTTTAAATGAATAATAATATCTCATTCTGCTGTTTCTTTTTTTAAAAGAACAAAGTAATATGCTTAGAAGAAATAGTGTTTGGCCTGTTTGATAGGCATCAAATAGATGTTAGATATTATTTTTACTGTTAAACAGAAATAAATGCCCTGTTTTTACTGGCTAGAGATAAAGCAAAATTTTGGCTCTGAGTTTCCTAATGGCCAAAGCAAAGAGAAAAACACAATTTCCAGCTTCATATGGCCCACATATAGTGAGAAATTCCATAGAAAATGCACTTTTCTTCGTTCTGAGATCTGAGAAAAATTCATTTAAGGGTCCTCATAAAGAGGCTATTTGCGATATAGCTAACAGTACCTTGCAATAGAAAATTAATATATATTGAGAACTTACTATATACTGGGTATTTTATTAAGGCCTTTACATATATCGTCTCATGTGATTCTAAAAATGATACTCTAAGACTCTGAGTTAGGGCTTATTATCAGTCTTCTTTTACAGATAGGGTAACTGAGCTTTAGTGACATAGCTGGGTGGTGGCAGAGTAAGGATTAGAATTCAGGCCATCTGCCAATGAAGGCTGTGCTCTTAACCACTGCCTGCATAGTAAGCACCATGTTGAATTCTGACCAACAGCTGTTTCTTTAAAGTTCCTTAATGCAAACTGATGGCATAACACCAAGCCACAATTCCATAAAGGGAGCAGTCTACTGATGGCCTTGCCTGATTTAAGCATACCCTTTAGAATATAGGGAGGAAGAGACAGAATCAAAAGAATGCCCTTTTGATAGTCCTACATTAATAATATTACTGCAACCAGGCTTTTAATAAGAATTTAAAGAATAGTGTTTTAAACTATAATTTTATAAAACCTGAAGTTCAGATATTCTATATGCCAAATAAAGGCAGAAATACATGCTTCAGCAATCAGCTAGGCATTAAATGTTCACATAATTATTTCTTAAAACTCGTTTGAAGACGAAATAAGTAATATCCTATACACAAAAGTGATAAGTAATTTCACTGAATGTTTGGTAAATATCAACCAGGCACTGTTCTAAGTTATATATGTGCATGTGTATATATAAATACACATATGAATATATATTCATATTTATGTGGACCAAACGAATATATTAATGATGATCAAATGAATACAGATATTGAAAATATATATATATATACGTATATATGTGTTCAAGTGAAAATATAGATATATAGATATATTTGCTATGGTTTGAATGTGTTCTTTCCAAAATTCTGGTGTTAAAAATTAATGGTCAATGTAATGATATTAAGAGAGACAGAGACTTTAAGAGGTGATTAGATCATAAGGGCTTCTCTTCTTGTGAATAGAATTAAGACCCTTATAAAAGAGGCTTCGCACAGTGCTGGGCTCTTTTGCCCTTTCTGCTTTCCATTGTGTGAGGACAAAACGTTATTCCCCTCTGGAGAACGTAACCCTCGCCAGACAACCAGATCTACCAATGTCTTGCTCTTAGACTTCGCAGCCTCCCAAATTGTGAGAAATAAAGTTCTGTTCTTTATAAATTAACCAGCCTGTGGTATTCTGTTACAGCAACACTAATGGACTAAGACAATGTTATCTATGTAATGGAGACATATTAAATATATATATATATCTATATCCATGAAGTAATTGACTATTTTACAAATAGTAAAATATGTAAATTTTATGTAAGAAACTTAAAATAGTAAAATATAGTTTAAAATGTATCCTAACATTATAAATAAGAAAACTTGAATACAAGAGTAGTTAAACAACTTACCCAAGGCCATTGAGCTAGCAAGTGACAAAGTTGGGATTTGAACCCTGGTATTCTGGCTCCAAAACCCAAGTTCTTAACTTCTAAATTATGCCTCTCAATACAACCGTGGAGATTGAGAAAACTCATACTGAGAAAACTACTGAATCACTACTACCAAGACTTGCTTTTTTTTAGCAGACTGTTGTTTGGGACACACACAGTCACTGCCCTCAAACTGCAAATAGTCTAATAAGACACACACAGCTATAAACAGACAGTTACCATGCAATGTACCCAAAAATACAATAGATGGACATTGACTGGAGCTTCTGGGAGATAGTAAAGAGTGGAGAAGACAGAGCCAGGGAAGGGGAGTTGAATGACGGTAGAAGCACAGAGAGACAGAGAGGACACCTTCCCTTCTAATAGTAGCAAGAGATTTCCATTGATCCAGCCCCCATTTCTCAAGTGGTCTCCAGTTGGTTTTGGTTCTGAGTAAGAACAAAAAATGATTATGTTCCATAAAGTAGCTGAACTGTCAAACATATTTTATTAATTATACGTAATTTATTTATTGTTTCAGTGCTAAAATCAAAATTTGCATTAATTTTTAATTTTTCTTATAATTCTGCAAGGTAAAAACAACATGAAAATTTCATTGACACTCTTTGGGTCACAAAAGTAGCTTCCTGTGATTTTGAAATTCTGGAAAAAGTGACTAAATGAAATAATCATGTTTAACATTTTTATGATCAAGCATAAATAGAATCAGCTAAATGCTGTAGATTGTAGCCAACCTTCCATACTTGCAACAATTATCTGTTCTTTTCCAACAGGAGCTGCATCTTGCTTTTGTTTCTCAGAGTCTCTCTGGAGAAAGGAGTCATCTAGAGCCCATAAAACCAAATCACGCAAGGTAAAGATTGGAGTTCCATCTTTGGTATATACTTTGGAGGCTGCTCTGGCAAGCCCGAGTTTTTCCGTGCATTCTGTAAGAAGCTAGATAACACAGGCAGTAAGAATCTGACAGGCAAAAGTGATAGGGCTGGGAATAATCATTAAAAGCTTGTCATTCTAAAAATCTGAAAAAAAAAAATTGAATTTGAGAAAATAGAAAGCTGAATTACTACTGATGTTGATCTTTGATCAGAGATTATTTTTCATATTAGATTGTTGTACCTAATTTCACAACAGTAGTCCAATCCAGCTGTAAATTTCCTAGCTCCAAAAATTTAACATGGCAGCTGACATATATTAATACATTTTAGCATCAGAGTATCTTCTAAGAAATGTTCAACTTAAAAATCCACTTTCAAAATTGTTGCTTTATAAGTTATACAACTGTTGTAATACTTCATACTGATAAACCGCTTCAAAATAAATAAGTAGTTAACCTTCAAACCAAGAACTGACAGGTATTATTACCTCCATTGTGCAGATGGAAAAACAGGATGAAAGATTAAAATTTTTGCCCAAGACCATAAAAGCCAGCTGTGGATCCCTGCGTGAATCTTGGAGTTGCTAACTTCTGTATTTCACTTAGTCTATTGAATAACAATATCTTAATTTAAAAATATATTTTCAACCAAAGAGGTGAGGGAATAGATATGTGTGCTTGCAAGGAAGTCTGCAGGGTAACTCCATATCATATCAAACATCACTTGTAAAATACATTGTTAAAAGCATTGGCCAGAGTGAATAGTCAAGATAATCACCAAGTAGTGCAAGGACAAAGCTGGGGTTGGGCCTTCTAGTTTCTCCTCTCTTCCTATGACTATGAGGAGCAGCCCCCAAGGCAGACCACATAGGTGCTCCTAACACAGCCCCCACTTCCCCAATTTGAAAGTAAAAAAAAACATCCTATCAACAAATAAATGCCCAGATATTCCAGATGGTGAATGAGGTGGCATCTATTGGATGATTCAGATGACATACAACTTGAAGCTGGCATGAGAAACAAGGCAGAAAAAGGCATTCCGTCTATCATAAGAAGGAAGAAAATCTAGTAGCTTTGTTTTCCTCTTTCTTACAGATCTCTACTCTAGAGCCAATCTAAAAACTGAATTCTGGGTTTCTAAGTCTGTATCCACTGACATACAATCAAATAAAATGTCTTTCAGTAAACAGAGATCTTGATCTCATCAGCTTTAACTGGTGAATGTGGCCAGAGACATTTATCACTCAATCCCACTGCTTTTTCTTGTCAGAAGAATTGCCATTATCATTACCTCTGAAGATACAAACAGCATTTAAGTGATAGCCACTTACCATGGGGAATGTTCCAGCCACAATTAACTTCCCATTACGATATCCATCCCCATTTTTGTATGCAATTATTTTCACTGCCTTCTGGTGTGTGGCTGCCATGCCACTGTGAGATGCAGCTTGCGTGCAGGTCTTCATCCGTAAAGACAATAGACGTGCTTGGTAGTAACTTAGAGTTTTTTCAGCCTCGTCACATGACAAATCAACCTAATTTATTTTTTAAAATAAATTGTACATTTACTCAAACTTTCTTGTTTTAGTTTGCTACACTTCAGTCTCTTAATAAATGTGTGTATGTGTGTATGGTGTCTACATTTTGCAATGCTCTCTTCATGTGTTAGAGATATTGAATACTAGAGTTGGAAGGATGTTGGATCCAAATTCTTCAGTTCCCTCCCAGGCCTGTCACTGAGCCACTAGGTGACTTTGGGCATCTGGCTTGTGTTTTTGGCATTCTCTTGTTTTTGTTTGTTTGTTTATTTGTTTTTTTGCTTTCTCTCTGCAATGGCCAGAGAGAGCCTGGATTAAAGTAATCATACACTAACATTATAGATAGCCTCTGAATTTTTAACTTTAGGATGATTCCACCATATGGTGGAAGATGTTGATGAATGGGGAGGGGAATGGTTGTAGCTTTAACCACATGGTAGTAAGGGTGGTAAACACCACTCTTCTGCTTTCCCTTTTCATCCCAAACTAGGATGCTGCCCTGAGGGCAAAGTTCTGTCTGAAATTCTGTAGCATTGGGGATTCTTTCCAACCAACTCCTCACCACCTCCTTAACATTATCCCACTATCTTCAAAGCAAACCAGATGCTTTCAGGTTTCCCAGAGGACTGACTGCCTTTCTCCTTCAAAGCTATCGCTTCTGTTGATGTTTTCTGTAACCTGTTTTTTGTAACTCCAATGCGTATCAGGATTAGGGAAGGGAGGAGGGTGATCTGGGGATGGGGTGAGCAAGCCCTGAAGAGCACACCAGGCTGGAAGATATTTCACCTTTTAGGAATTGCTCCTTTTTATTCAGGCATGTAAGTTCCCTTAGTTTTTACTTCTATAGTTATAGGAAAGTGGCAGAGTGTTTTTTTTTTTCCCTCCATGAAGTCTAAATACTATTAGACATGGATGTGTGAATTCAGGCACCCCAACCTGAACAGTCATTAACAACAACACGTCCAATTCCCCCTGAAATGTTCCATACTAGTAAAAGGAAGTTTTTCCTGTGGATATAGGCAAAAAGCTGTTCCACGAAGTAAAGATTTGCGGTTACTTCCTCACCTAAAAGCAACACTGTGAACAGTGAAATATGTCAGTAAATGATTAAAGCTGCAGAAGTGCCCAATTAACTTCAAAGAGTCTATTGAACTATTAATAGACAATGCATTTTAAATTACAATGGGGAAAAGGAAATCAATGCAGGTAGAATGGTAAAGGTGCATCTGAGGAAGATGAATTGGATGAGTGGAGATGAACTTGAGTGCAAGGCAGATAATGAATGCATCAAAGTTTCCAAATTGTTGCCATACATGCATTAGCAGAGCTCAGATCATTACATACCTCAGCCACACTGATGACCTTGAATGGCCCTTGTAAGAAGGGCTTCTGAGTCTTGGTGCCTGAAATACAGAGGAATGGAACCCCTGGAAGCAATTGTTTCAATCCCTTCTCTGTTCTCATGGATTGTCCACAAGCCAAGCAGAACATAGTTTTTCTCTTTCCATCAGGTGAGAGAGAATAGTATCCCTAAAATGGGAGACAAAGATGGCTTTATATAGGAGCATCTAAATTGTTATAGCATTGCTGTAGAACATTTTACAATATAAATATAGCACTTTTAACATCCCAAAATGCTAAATTTAAAATTTTATGCTAAATTTAAATTTAGCATAAATTTAGCCAAAATGCTAAATTTAAAAATTTAAAGTATTTCCAAATTCTGTAATGACAATTCAACACCAATGAATATAAACTGTGTGTAAAATCAGCTTCTTGGAGGAATGGCCAGCTCCAGATTTGGGGCAAGAAATATACAAGACAATGAAGAAATATCTTGTGTCCTGAAAGAGAAGAAGCCATCATCATGTCCAAAAGACACAGGAGCCAACATGAAGGAGCCTCCACTGCGCCAAAATGGGACAATTAGGGAGCAACAGAAAGAACCATAACTAAAACATTTTGAAAATGTTTAAATATATAAAATCCTATGAGTTTTAATGATGCTAACAATATAAATAAAAACAAATAAACCCCAAGCAAATAAAAACAAAACTGCAACTCATCGGAGACTGTTGGAAGTAAACTGGTATCAATTTAAAACTCTACAAACTGGCCACTAGAAATTGTGGCAGATTATTTGTAAAGATGGCCACAATAAAACCATCCTACTCTTATTTGCATACCCTTTTAAAATGTGACATTTTGGTCCACCAATCACGAAGTAGAATCTTTCTTTTCTTCTTTCCTTGAATCTGAGAAAGGCCGTGTTACTTGCTTTGGCCAACATAGCACTAACAAATGCGATGCAAGCAGATGTGTAAGAAGTGCTTGCACATTGGAGCTTATTCTCTTTTGGCTGCCATTGGAACCCCGAGACCACAATGTGAACAAACTTGAGCTAGCCTGCTCGAGAAGCCATGTAGTTGAAGAACCAATGTTCCCAGCTAACAGCCTGCCAACCACCAGATGGGTGAGGGACGCCATCTTTGACCATCCCATCCCCATAAAAACACCCAACTACCAAAGAACCACCAGATGACTGTAGCCACATTAGTGACCTGGGACAAGACCAGCAGAACTGCCCAGCTGACCTCAGCTCAAATCACTGGCTCACAAAGCAAAAAATGTTTTTTTTTTTTTGTTTAAGCCACTAAATTTTCAGGGGTTTTGTTACACTGCAATAGATAAGTGAGATCAATAGAAAGAATTAGGGTTCATCCTACATTCCCTTACAACCATATTTTTGAGTAGTCAGATATTGAATTGATGAGCTAAAGTCCTTCCTTCTATTAAAAGTTTAGTTAATCAATGTAGGAAAAAATGATAGAATTAGACAAAATTGACCCTTTTGAAACAAGAGGGCAACATCAAGTGAAATGTCATTGGGGAATTTTTAAACATGAAATCAGGTTGTAAACACCTGAACCCACTCATAACTATCATGACTAAAAATGGAAAATCCACACATTGCCTATGTGAGTGATAAATAGGAAATGTGGGAAAACCTGTGAAGATTCTGGCCAAAAAAAAATGTTAAACATAAATCTAGTTACAAATATAGGACTCAATTTCATTTACAGAAATTATGGGGGATGGGGAAACAAGTCAAAGGATGCCACAAAGAAGAAAGTAAACAAATCCCATTAAGGGGCATTCAATATGAAAATGGAGCCAGACTATGCCACTGAGTGTCACATGGAGACCTTATTTGAATCTTGACACAAACCAACAAACCATAAAAAAAAAATTTAGGGCAACCTGGGAAATTTGATTAAGGATAGAATATTAGATGGCCAAAGAATTATTGTTAATCTTGTTAGCTGTGAGAATGGCATGATGAGTGTAAGTCAGAAAATGTCCAAAATTTTTAGAAGTATGTGCTTAATATGGAGGTGAAATAATATAATGTCTGGGGTTGACAAACATGGCAAAACCTAGATAATAGTTAAATACTAATGATGGATAAATGAAGACTTATTGTCCTAGTTTCTCTACTTTGAAATATGTATGAAAATTTCCATAAGTACGTTAGATTAATATAAACTACCTAATTCGGTTTTTTCTCACAATTTTCCTTCATTCTTTACTACTAGAATCAGAGTCTAAGTGATTTCACTCAAAAATCAGCATTCAACTTGTATGATCATAAAGTTTTCTAGGGAGAAAATTTTTCTTGTTTTATTAAATTACTCTCTTTTACCCTATTTTTCTTTTATCTTTGAGAGGAAGGAACCACTTACTGGTTGATCAATGTTTTCCTCTTTAATCACAGATGATGTACAGACGCCAGCATAATTTGCTGATGTAATTTCCTTATCCAAGGCAGTGCTATGAAAGGCCACAAGTGCTTTTATATCTTTCATGTAACGCCACTTTTGATTGGCAGCTCCATTGTTGTATGGCTTATATTTCTGAAAAAAAGAGGCAAAATATGGAGTCAAGTGAGTTCATGAGAGGGTTATAGTAGTCTTGTTTTTCATTGCATAAATCCAGAAAGTGCAGAGAATTACTCATAATCCCACCATGCAGTAACAACTACTACTCTTGAAATTTTAGTGATTAGATATGAAATCTTTTTTATCTTTATAAATACACATTATTTGATTTACAAAAATAGAATCATAAAATGCATACAATTTGGTAATTGCAATTTTTTTTCTTAACAATATTCCCTGAACCTTTTTCTAACATCTTGTAAAAATATATACCATTTCATTGTAGGGATATTTTACTAATCTTCAATAGTTAAACATGTAGGTTCTTTCTCAAAATTTCTCTAAAATAAACAAATAGTGTAAATAAATATTTGGGAAATCCATGATAATTTTTAGGACGAATTTCTAGAAGTAGAGTTGCTGATAAAAAAATCATTTTAAAGATTATATCAAAATGCCTTCTAGAGAAATTATTTTACTTTGCACTTGTGCCAATAGTATACTAAATGACCCATTTTCCTTACATTCTTGCCAAAAAAGGGGCAATATTTCCAAAACACGAATATAATAAATGAAAAAAATTACCTTGTTGCTATTTTAATTTACATTTCATTGATTATCAAAGAGGTTTATTTCTTAAGTACATTCAGTTAAACATGTAATAGAAACAATATATTTATTCTAATTGTGAAAGTTGGCTCAAGTACAAGTAAAGAAATAGTTTCAGTTGAACAGAACTTAAACCAGTAGACTAGTCCTAATTAAATATATCATAACACCTCAAGAACTTTTGTAATAAATAACATCTACTTTACCAAGCGAGAGCTTGATAGCAAAGAAGAAAATAAATGAGTCCCAAGAATTGATTTAATGGGTCAGACAATAAAGCCTCCCTCAGAGGTCTGAAAAACCAAAGACTGTATTTTCAAGGGACAGAAAAGGGTCTAGTAGCATTAACCTGCTATGCCTCATTTTTATTATTTTACATGAACTTTAATATTTTCTCACAAACCAGTTGTTTCAATAAATGCAACACTAGCAACAAAAAATTCTTGAAAGATAATCCAAATTACCTTGGGGTCAAATTATTTCTTACGAAATGGTAACCTTGGGAGAAACCATCCATATCTATAATTTTATGAAAATGATTAAGGTACTAAAATTGTATGTGTATGGGGTTGTATCTCACTGTGGTCTGTACTGAAGAGGCACCTGACAGAGAAGAACGTATTGTTATATGTACTGTATCTCCTAGAATAATTTTTTAGTCCATATTTTTCACCAGGATAGAAGACTTAATTAAGCTTTGATATTTGTCCAGATTGCTATGTCTCAATTTTGGACTCAGGGCCTGCAAAACAAGTTGCCTCGTTGCTATTAAAAACACAGAATAAAACAAATGTTATTTGGAGGCAATCTATTCTGTTCAACAAGAGGATGAAAAATACTGAGGAGGACACAGAAAGTAAATGCAAAGCAGGAATGCTTCTACACTTTCTCCCTTACTAGCAAGGAAAAATACATACTCATTTAGGAGTGGTTTTGGTTACAAGCATGTGAGAATGACAGAAAAATATGAAAGAGAAAAAAAGATCTTCCTAGGTCTTTGTCGAAAACTCAAATGAAGCCAGACTTCTCTGGAGTCTCCATAAATTGTCTGGCTGCTATAAGCATTTGCAACAGTGAATGAAAAGAGAATTTCAAGAGTCGTTTGGTAGAATTAACATTGATGATCTTGCATCCTTCAGGAAGACCTCCCTGACTAGGTTCTTTCTCTCCAGCTGCCAAGGCCTTTAGAAACGGGAGCCTTGCATATGTTCCTGATGATCAAATTTAGGTGCATCTAATAGCCATCCACCTGCCTGCAGCCACCACTGAGACCATAAGCTTCATGAATGCTGTTGGGACAATTTCTCATGCTTGCCATTGGGTTTGATTTCAGTAACTAGCATAGTGCCTGACATGCAGCAAGCCCACAATCACCATCTGTTGGATTAAACTAAATTAAGAGGTACATGAACATGTTCAATTTAAAATCTAGGCAGACTATTGTAAATATTTTAACAACATTCAAATAGGATTCTAAGACAGTTTTCTTTTCCACTACAAGGAAGCATAAAGCTTTACTTAAATTTAATTAAAAGGCCATGACTAATCTTTAGCCATACGTATCTTACCTGAACAATAACTGGATAGCCACAAACTTCATTTCCAGTCTTGGTCATAGACACCGCCAGCACAAGGTCAGGGTTACTCACCAGGTGAAAGGTCCTTGGGAAAACAGGATTAGCCACATTACAAAGTAGCATGACCAGATTAGATCTCCCTCTGTGCCACTTAGCACTGTGTTGCCTGTCAGCTCCATGCATGCTCTGTAATAATGAATGTGAATCCTTTAAGAATTTCTCCCCCACAGTAAGTGTGATGTTAAGCTTTCTCAGTAGAGAGTGCTGGAAGAAGACTGCAGGATGAAGGGGCTCTCCGGCTCTTTCTGGCTGTGGCAGGGGGTCAGCGGTTGGGAGTAAGAATACCCAGTGATGTTCTGCTCCAGCCAGGTGCCCAGGATGCAGGTCTCCCGGCACCTTCATAGCCCGGGCTTGCCTATTGTTCCTTTGCTCAGTGCCCGCCTGACATGGACACCACATGCTTCAGGCCTCCTAGTGTACCAGCACCCCATTCCCTCTGCATGCTGGTGTGCCCAGCAACCGACTGCACCCCCCTATATGTTCCGGAGTATTATGTCCTGCTCACTCAGTGTTATGGTTTGAATGCCCTTCCAAAACTCATGTTGAAACTTAATTCCCAATGTGGCAGTATTAAGAAGTGGAGTCTTTAAGAGGTGATTGGATAAAGAGGGGTCTGCCTGGATTAATCCATAGATGAAAGGGCTAATGGATTAATAGGTCATCATGGGAGTGAAACTAGTGGGTTTATAAGAAAAGGAATGTGACGCCATGTGCTGTGCTGTATGATGCTCTGTGCTGTATGATGAGCTGTGCCATCTCAGGGCTCTAGAGAGTCCCCAGCAGGAAGAAAGCTCTCACCTGATCTACTAAAGATACAAAAATGTAGCTGGGTGTGGTGGCACATGCCCTGTAGTACAGCTACGTCGGGAGGCTGAGGCCAGGGAGAATCACTTCGAACCAAGGAGGTAGAGGTTGCAGTGGAGTCTGAGATCGTGAGACTGCAC